GCCGGGGTAATATAAATAACAACTTAACGCGCTAATCAAGTTCCCTCAAGTTTCCTACAAGTATCTAAGTAATCCAGTCCGGAAAGCGCCTAGTTTCGTTCGAGGTGTAGTGAATGACGTTCTATTCTTTTGTCAGTATCTTCCTTCATCTTTTATTGATTTTCAACCGCGAGCCTTTCACATGTTAACTGCTCATGACACTGGGTTTCGCTGTTGTATGGACAAGAGAATAAGAAGTTTTTCTGAGCACATTTCAAATATTAAGCGATCACTCATTGATAAGAGAAAATATACGGTCAGTATGGTATCAACGCACTTTTTCTTATTAGTTTGTTTATTGTTTATTTTTTACATTTCGTTCCATAGTGCGTCCAAAAACATTTAAATGCTTCATGACTCAATGTGCAACAGGGGAATCACAGAATAAGCTGAATTTGGGCCCAAACATTTAGCCAAAAATTAGAAAATCTCACGCCGATTGTGCGCCCTTCTCGGAAAAGGTGTTGGGTCCTCTGCGAGATCTTTCCGGAGAGCTGGGTAGTTGCATAGTACTGGACTCACGGCAATAAGGGGGCTGTGTTTCATCGCTGAAGATGAGAACGGGGGGTGTGGTGGGGTGATATTCGATTATTGATTCCTCCCGCGTCTGATTGATTTCCCTGGCCATCCCTACTCGCGGGCGACGATGTGGTTATTTTTAGTAGCCGATAGTTGGTCTGGTGGACGAGGTTTCTGAAGTGGGGATCGTAAGGAAAAATATTTCAGAGGGGGGGGGTCGTATCAAGGGAACATTTCCACTTTTTCATGATGTGCCATGACTAGGACTTGCTGTCAATACAATCCATAAAGAGTGAGTGCAGCCGGGACTCTGGGCGAAGAGAAAAGGGGGTTCACAAGGGTAACCAGGGTAATGTCTCATCCCACGGCTACCTAAAAGAGAATCCCGCAAAAGAAAGGTAACTTTTGAGATCTAGAGCTAGTACTTCGAACACAGGTTGCAAGTGTACTGATGTAACCATTTACAGCTGAAGGCCAGAACCGTCCTACTTCCAGATTCTGGACCAGAATTTGAATTTTTTCCCATCCTTTACATCAAGATTTTTATAAGCTAGGAAAAAATATTCCTGTGCTCACCTGGGAAGCAGTCGAAAACGTCGTAGCATTGATTATTTCTAACTATTCCAGAAAAACCAGGAAGTTCTTACGTCCAGGATAATGTGGTCAAAAGAGAAACGTGGGCCCAGATCCAACCCCTTGATTCTGTCTTGCTCATCTTTTGGTCCTGCTCTGGTCTATTGTTGTGACAGGGCAGTTTTAATCTTTTGAAAGTAGTAAAGTATAACTCGTGCGTTGACGCTAGTTTTTGTGAGCTGCTGGCATTGCTCTCAGCCCGGCACGGAGGACATTTCTTGGCAATGGAACAAAAGGCCTTGTCTCAGCGCCAAATGTTGCTGGGTCGTCATTGCGATCAAGCCGCATCGATGGCGGCGCTATGACGGGACGCCACAATATGTTTAGTCCGTGGACCAAGTTTTCTTCAAACCTGTTAAGCATTTTTACCCTTTATCCATTATTTTTCACCACAGTTACCTGGAAGGAAAACTGAGTTCACCCCAACATTCGAGTGGTCATTTTTGAAATTGGGAAAGAAATCGCGTCTGTTGCACAGTCGAAACTTGTTGGCTGGTTTTTCGGGGCGATTCAGCGAGAGGAGGGGGGCATCTGAAGGGCTCATTTTGCACAGATGGGATCCCGCATTGAAAAGGTGATTTGCACCAAAGCCCAGAGCTCAACTAACTCCGAGATGGATTAATCAAGCCTTTTCGTCAAAGAAGGTTCATTAATGTAACACTTACAGTTTGTTAGTCCTTCCAATACCCCCGCCCTTAGCCGAATTGTCCATCGAATTCTTATAGGTTAGGAAGGGATATTTTGAGAATCGTTGCTTTTCATAACATTCCCAGACGCTTTTTTATTGTCCTCGATCGCCAGACCAAATCGAATGCAGCTGATTCTCAGAACTTTAAATCATCCATAATAACTGCAGTAATTCTTTATTAATAGGCAGTAACAGCTGAATAATGCTGTTATGACCGTTTTAGTGAGATAGCAGCTCCGCAAGGAGCTAATCATTTTCGGAAATCCGCCGCAGAGACTTGGGGAGCCATTAACCCCAGGCAGGTACCGAACAAAGGGCTTTGGCAGTTGACCCTGGAACACATAATTCCCACACCTGTACACCTTGTGATTATTCATGAGAGTACACATCATTCCTTGGGGAAGCGGAACCGAGGGGGGAAAAAGGGTCGCTTCCTGCTATTTTTATCCTTAGGAAAGGGGGGAGTCACAATTGGCAAGTTGAGAATCTTTTAGTTTTTTTTTTACTTTTGCCATTTCAGACGCGCTCTATACTCCTCCCCTTCGGCATTTTCATCTCCTCTCCGCTCGACGGATGCCGCGTGGGATAGACTCTCGGAAAAATTTCACCGTCAGAATCCCCCGATTCAAATACTACTACGCACACTTACGTTCATATTGTTAGATATTATCTATTTTCAATATTTTCGTGTAGACTGGTTATACGGTGCGATCTTCGCTCTGTGGCTCTATTGAGGTGTTGGATCATATAATTTCTTCCAGAGAATTTTCGCCGTTGTTTGACGTCGAATGCTGAACGGGCTGTTATTTATTGCTTTAGCTTTTGCACACCAAGTCGTCAGCTATCAAGGTTTGTAGGAATTTTTTTCTGAATTGAACATGCTATATGTATACTAGCAACTACAGAATAAAGTAACTGGCGAGAAATTCAAATATTAACAAGTCCCATCTGAACATGCATAGCAGCAAGAGCAAAGCATGGTAAAGAGCGTCCTGCTTGGAAGATGGTGAGAAGAACCACCGGTGTAGATGAACCTCTTTAAAGGATCTGGCTCAACACCACAGGGCTCTTTTCTATCTGTATCTATGCAAAATCCCAATCTCCTTGACCATACTCATCTCTTAGCACCTTGCAACACTCAATACCATACAATCAGGGCATGTCGAGGGGCTCACAGTTGGTCAGTGGAGTGAAGGGGGTCGTATTCGCAAAATGTTTCAGGTTGTTGACTTTCTCGGTTTTTCCCGCTTCACCTGCCCCTCCTCAACGGCAGCTTTTTTAGGGGAACTGGAAGTTTTTCGAAGAAGTTTACTTTGGAGCAGTGGTAGGTAGGGAGTATAAGAAAATTTAGTGCGATGGTAGGTAGGATGGGAGATGAGAAGGGGAGCCGTACGACAGCGAGGGAATTTCGGAAGTGAGTCGCAGTCGCAGAAATAAATAATTGCAGTAGTTCCTCTCAACTGCAGTACGTGCCTTGCGTCCAATACACAAAAATTTGCGAAAGACCTAAACACTGGAGGTTGTGAGGGACTCTGCAAACTCATACGGCTTTACAAAATTGCCCGATCAACTCAAGCTTGCAAAGTTGTATTGCTGTTCATTTTTGTTGCTGCGAAGTTAGTACTGTGCTTCATGGTTCCTATCAAGAAATGATTGTCCAGCAATTAGGGGGCTGCTTCTTATGCAACCCCCTCATTTTGATAACTACAGCTGGCGTGCACGAGCTGGAAAGGTTGAAGAAAACTGCGAGATGATGTAGGCGTTGGTGGCTCAGGGCCAGATGGTTCGGATGTTTGGGGTTCTCGGGATCATCCAAGTTCATCCTATCATCCCCTTCCCTTTCTCGCCTCGCCAATTACAGCAGAATAATTGAAGAAGCTTATTAATACTGAGTAACTATTGTGAAAGGTGGGGAGTGAAAATTGTTTGAGAATGTCTCTCACTCAGATAATTTTCCCCGCCACAAAAAAAATAAAATGTGAAACAGCTGCGTCTCGCTTATTGCTAGGAAAAAAAGTAATAAGTGCCCAATCTTTCATATTGCCGGTCGGATCCTGTCAGCTTAAGGACAAGTATTTCTAGTTCATAAATACGCACAACTTCCTTGTTAATGTGACATTTCATGGCTTCAATAGGTTCAAAAAAATGACGCTGCGAAAAACATCGGAGGAGGACTTGTCTAAATTAATGCCTTCGTTTCAGGACCTTCAAATCGTCTTACGCGGCATTTGCTGAAGCAGCATGAGAAGTGAGTTTGAATGCTTTTTCGCAGTATTTTATTTAACAATTTATGGCTTGTCCTCCGTAATACAAATTGGATTACTCTCAAGGCATGCCATCTAAAAACTCCTGGACTCCTGGTTGGTAATTAGACTGGTCACCCTTCGTTCATCTAAAATTGTAGAAAAAAATAAAGTGCGTCACCCATGTCTAATTGCTGGCAGAAAAAGGGGCTGCGCGCCAGTGGGACGGAGCTTGTCATCGTTATTATTAGGCGCTCATTGAAACAATCCTACACTTCTTGAGCGTGAGTAAACCTTCCTGATGGTCATGATATAGATGCAAAAATGTCGACCCTGGTGGGACTCGAACCCACAATCTTCGGATCCGGAGTCCGACGCCTTCTCCATTAGGCCACAGGACCATGTGATCTGTTCGAAATCGATGTCGCCTAAGGCTATGAATAAAATTATTGTACTGCACACAGATCTGTTTATGGAGGGTATTGACACAGCGCGCGGATACCATATGGCGTAGCTGCCCACTGGGAGCGACGCTTTGGCGCTGTGAACATTTACACGCCATTCAGCGCAGCACAACTCTCTTTCTCATGGCTTAGCACTTTTAGTGAACTTTGTCCACAGGAAAAACTTTTACATTTGTCAACTGTAGATCGTTTCAATGGAAATTTTACATTGTTCGCACTACTTGTCGAAATTTTCCACGCCAATTTGACTTCGGCAGCACTGTTCACTTATTCAGAGTTTTCTTGTCTTTTTTTTCAATTTCGAGTAATTAGCAGGAGTTGCTATTAAGATGCGCTCCACCAGATGGTGTCGTGGTGATCACCCACGAAATAGAGCTCGTCCACATCCACACCGTTGATGAGCTCAAACAGACTATGATCGTTCTTGTCTATGTTGTTGAGGTGAGCCTGAAATCAGTGCAGGTCTGAACAATCTGGGAAGATTCCTCTAGAAGACTTTCAGGAATGGGAAGATGCAACTCTGAGTTGGGATCCAACGAATTTCTCCGGTCTTCGAGTCACTTGGTTACCGGAAGAGGCTATATGGGTGCCTGACATCATCGTATTCAACATGTTGGTACAGTTATTGATAAGCATAATGCTCTTTCTACTAAGTTATGTACAGTCATGTTCATTGCGGACGAAGAGGCGTGTCGGTAAGGCGAGGTCTGGCGCGCCGCCTGCCCGTTATCCGCAAGTTTTCGAAGCGGTTGAGCCAATAACAGCTGGTGGACAACGACCGATATGAACGACGTGACCCAGTCTTGTCGCTTGCCGAAAGAAAAAAAAACCCTCGCGACGCGCCAAACCCTGCTTCACTAACACGCCCCATCATCCGCAATGAGCAAGATTGTGGCTGATATTTCGTTCGTTCTGGTTTTTTCAGGCTGAATCATCAGGAACTTTTGCACTCGGTGAGATCTCCAATACGAGTGGATTACACTGGCAAAGTAACATTCTCATACCCAGCAATCTATTCTGTCATGTGTCGGATAGGTAATATATTTCCTACAAAGATTGTTTTAACATGCTTTATTCTGCTGAGTTTCATTTGAAACGTACTGACTCGAAAGCCTGCTGGACTCCTAGGACTCCCGCTGTCCTCAACCTGATTCTCACTTGCTATGAAAAAGGTGGTATGATAACAGGTGGTATCTTTTATCAGGCGCCCAATCCGGGATCAAATCCTAGATCGGCTCCCAAGCAGGTCAAACAAGCTCTCCACTGCTCCGTCGCCGTAAAGTTGATACCGGCTGGTCCTCTTATGAATGGTTTGGCCTACACAGTTGTAAATAGTCTATACAATAAATAAGCGTTCGAAAAAGTAGTCGGTGAACAAGTTTATGAAGATTCGAACGTTTTAATAAATCCTTCAATGAGTGGGCGGAGTCAACAGGGACGGGGTCAAGAGCGGCAGTGGATGAAATCCTCCATTCTGTAATATAGGTTGGAAAGAAAGTCCTGTCAGTGTTTTTTAGATAGCCTACAGTTTTTGATCTTCGAAGCTCGAACATGACGTAACATGCTAAGGTTGTAGAACATTCTCGAAGCTTTTCCACAAGTATATCAAGGCTCCTGCTCTTCCCTGTGTTTATTTATGATGTCAGTTTCACTGGAGCAGCTTCGAGTGATCATCTTCTATGAGTGGCGCCGCGGCACTGGAGCGACGGCAGCGGCCCGTAACATCAACTGTGCATTGGGGGAGGACACCACCACCGTCAGGACTGTCCACCGTTGGTTCGCTCGCTTCGCGAAAGGAGAGACGATCTTCGAAGACAAACCTCGTCTGGGACGCCCTCGCGGCGTAGAAGATTCCGCCGTTCTCGAACCTGTCAGAGAGGATCCAGAGGCTACCACGCGCAGTATTGCGACAAGGCTAGGGTGTAGCCATACAACAGCTCTAAGCCGCCTTCAGGCCCTTGGCTACAGAAAAGTCCTCACGCGATGGATACCTCATGCTCTAACAGATGGCACGCGGTATGCCAGGGTGAGCATCTGTCGATCCCTCCTTCTACACCGTAACCGGAAGGAGTTTCTGGAAGATATTGTGACTGGAGATGAAAGCTGGGTCCTCTATGATTCCAACCTACGTCGTGCCATGTGGCTCCCTCGAGGAGAAGACCCGCCTACGCAACCCAGATCGAACCTGCACTCCAAGAAGGTCCTCCTCTGCTGCTTCTGGGATTCGAAGGGCATGCTGCACCACGAGCTGCTTCCGCAAGGGCATACGGTTACCGCTACCGTTTACGCCGCCCAACTCCAGAAACTCGCGCAAGCTCTTCGAGAAAAGCGGCCGAGACGAGCTTCGGTGCACCTCCTCCATGATAACGCCAGACCACATGTGGCTAAAGAGACCCACGCCAAATTGAGGAGCTAGGCTGGGAGACCGTTCCCCATCCACCATATTCTCCAGACCTAGCCCCCTCCGACTACTACTTGTTCCGCTCCCTCAAGGCTTTCCTAGGTAAGAAAACCTTCAGCGAATTTGATGGCATCAATCGAGAAGTTGCCTACTTCTTCGACTCGCAGCCTCCTCAGTTCTGGGAGAAGGGGATAGCTGAGTTGCCCATTAGGTGGAGCACTGTAGTGGCTAACAATGGCGATTATATTATTGATTAGTTTTTATTTCATGTTGAGTTAGAAAATAAAAAAAAAAAAAAAATCACAACAGTGACAGGACTTTCTTTCCAACCTATATATGAGGGGATATAGTGGAATCGTGAAAAACTAATGTAAATAGAATTTTTAGAGTATAATGTGTGCAGATTATGTCCGCGAAGAAAAATGGGCGTGGCAATCTGAGGCGGGCTCCCCATGAAGTCCCCTATGCGCAGGGCGCAGTGTAAATAGCGCTTCTAGCAAAAATTCAAAAATTTGTTTGCAATGAAATCGATAATCTGCAACTGTACGAGGTGGAACCGCTTTCAAATGACACCACGGATTTTAATAGAAGTAGGGTACGTGGCGCATCTCAAGTGTTTACTTTCTCTTGTGGTTCTTTCCTTAGTTCCTTATTGAAGTTGAACTGCGTAACATTTAATTCTAAACGTTTCAGGAATCGCAAAGTTTCCTTTTGACAGTCAAACGTGTGAATTGCGAGTGAGTAATTAACCTTTCTGGTGTTATTACCTTCACAGCTATCCATTTTCTATTAAGTTGGCAATTAGGTCCTGCAACACCTGCTCAAAATATTGCAGATTGCTTCTTGGGGCTACGGAGAGGACAAACTGAAACTGAACGCCACAAGAAAGCCATATCTTCAGCACTATTCAGCAAATGAGGAGTGGGCTTTGAATGTGAGTGTATCGATTTTGAAGATCAACAGTGAGAACACTGGACCTCAATAGGCCTCATTTTCCATTGCAGGATGTCAGCATCAGGCAGGACCACTACGATCACGAAGGTGTTGTTGTTAGTGAGGCCCGTTATGTGGTCGTTATTTCACGGAAACCGTTTTATTACCTCATTAGTCTTGTACTACCAAGTTATATCATATGTATGCTGTCGATAGCTGGATTGTTTGCGAGGTTTTCTACGAAGCATGAACGGCAGGTATGACACCCTTGTTCACGGTGGATGATGGGGCGTGTGAGGGGGACAGATTTGGCGCAACGCCAGCCCGTTTTGTTCCTTTTTTTCCTTCAGCAAGCGATGAGACTGAATCAAATCGTTCGTGTCAGTCGTTTTCCACCAACTGCTCTTGCGTACCCGCTTCAAAGACTGGTGGAGAACGAGCTGGCAGCCGCGCCAAACCCAGCATTACCGACACGCCCAGTTGTCCGCAGCGAACGCGACTGTGCTAGGGTTGTAGAATTACTAATCCTATTTTATACCTCTTCAGGAGCGATTCACTCTTGGCGTCACGGCGATTCTCAGTATGGCAGTATTGTCGCTTGTCATCACAGAAAAAGTGCGCACAGTTCGGAAGGAGTTCCATTGTTGGGTGAGTTCATGTTCTGTACAACTCTGATGGTTACCTTCTTGAGTAGTACAGAGCCACAGTACGCAACGGTTACGCGGGCGATCGCGAAGCGGTCACCATCTCAAGATATATAACTGCGCTCGCATGCTCGCGCATGCTTTATAGGAAACTAACAAGCAGGGCACGTCGTTGTTGGGGAATCCCCAATAGGGGAGGGTCGTATTTGACCGACAGAGAGGAGGGGGTTTTATTTGGGCTGGGGAAAATTTGATTTGGCAGTTGATTTTCCTCGCTTCACGGACATTGTAAAGCGGAGGGGGGGGTCGGTCGAACTTGGTCATTTTTGGGAGAGGGGAGGGGTCGTATTTTCCTTTTGGCGTTGTAGGAGGTGACTTTCTGTGATTTTCCTGTTTCATGCGTACTATATACCCTCCCCCCCGCTCCTCGACAGCAAAACTTTTTTGGGAAAAGGTATGGGGAACTTTTCGCAAAACTTTGGAAAAAGTTTCAGGAAGTTGGGGAAAATCTGAAAATTGGTGGAAGGGAGAGGGGGGTCGGTCGATGAGGAGGGCCAGAGCGCCGGAGGGGGGTCGCTCCAACCCCCAAAAAAAGGGGCGCGTCGTACAGGCTCGACTAAAGTTCCCAACCAATGATGTGCCCTGTTAACAGGTTTCTCTTTCAAGCTGACTGTTATGCGAGTGCGAGAGAAATTCCCGCACTTAGGTGTACAGGGGGGGGGGGGGCAAAAAAAAGACATTTCGACCGAGTCACATATCAGCAAAGTTTTCGCAGCCCAGACAGAGGACGTGGATACGAGTACCAGGGCGGAGATACCCAAGATGTTCCTCTATAAGCAGGAGCTGGCTCTCGCCCATCACCTTCATGTACACCAAAATATGAAGTCATCTCCAGCCGCAACCTGACTGGAGAAGACCTTCGGAATTCATGTCACCTCCGAACAGCTGCGAAACTTCTAGTATGGAGTCACCCATAAATAGCTACCTGGAGAGCAGTACTCTCGATCTGGAAGACCTCCATCATCGAGCAGCTCCGTCAACGTCGCTACGGTCTAGGACATCATCTTCACCTCAGTCGCCAAGGCGCCAGTTGATGGTGGGGACCGGACGTACCTGGAATGGAGAGACCGATATTTTCTTCGTGGGCCCCGGACTAAAGGTGAGCGCTGGCGGTTACATCGAGCAACTCGAGAAGAATATCCTCTCCACATGTCGTCGCCCGTACCTTCTTGGAAACTTTGTACTGCTACAGGATTGGGTGACACCACATGGAATCAAAGGGCGTTGGGAAAACTCTTGCCTACTTGGAATGGAAGGGCGTTGAGTACCTGAAGAAGGTGGAATATCTAAGCAGGTAACCTGACCTAAACCCCCCCCTCAATTACCTGGTTCGGGCGGAGTTCAATAGGGTGGTCTACAGTGGCGGAGAAATCAACGATCTCGCTGAACTCACGCACCCACTGACGGTCGCGTGGCAGAATCTCTCGATGGCGCTCCTCCAGAAGGCTGTGGCGGAGTATCATGATAGTATTTAATATGCTCTTTAATATGGTGGTAGAAAATATTCCGATAAGAGTTTCAA